GCACGCTGTGACGGCTGATGTAGTTCAGGTGGGTGTGTCCCTGAACGCAGCAGACTGCCCCTTGCCTCAGACTGCTTTTGGCACGACACCAGATTTACACAAATCGAGTTTCCAGCAGCTCCAGAAGGGTCAGTTGTGAGTTATTCAGCAGAAATGTCTCACATCCTTCTTCTTCTTCTTCTGACTTTTGAGACTGTGGCATTAGAAGGTGAGTAGCTAAAAATAAAATTAAAAATTAAAATAAAAACTGCTGGCAGTCTGACAAATGCTGTGACTCACAATTTTTTTTGAGCACTTTTTTTTTAACAGCTGTTCAAATGTAAACATTAGCTTGGGGGAGATTGTTCCAGAGGACCTCTGGTCTTTAGCCGTAACCTAGGTTCCACCAAGAGCAATTGATCCCAATGCTCCCGTAGGAGTATACAGGCGGAAGAAATCTCCAGAGCTGGAGACAGAGATTGTCTTCTCTAAGTCACAAGGGCTGGCTTCATTCTTCTGTTTAACTAGCGTGTCTGTCGGTAGATGCTTATGATAAGATATTAGTCAAGTTGCATTTTGCTGATCTTGCCATGCTTGTTTTTGGGAGATTTTTTGTCTCCCTCTGAGGGATTAAACCTTTCTCGGGACTTCTTGCGTTGTACTTGCACACAGTCAGTGTGCATAAACACGACACAGTAGTTTTAAGTTGTCAGATTGTCAACATATTTACCTAAATATTTTAGTATGTCTGGTGATTACTGATACATCAGCTACACAAGAAATATGCAGTTATCAGAATCTTTTCCTCCCCTTTGTTTTCCCCAGTATGTTGCGTGCACTAGTGAATGTAATAGGTATGATGTCACTATGAATTTTTTATAACATATCAAAAGTTTACTGGTGTAATTGCAGACATTTCTTCATGAACCCAGAAAATGACCTCTTGTGTTACAACTCTATCGTATGTTATTGCATTTGGCGTCATAGCTCCCAGACATAGGTTTATAGTTTGTTCATACAAGTGTAACATCAGCGTATGTGCAAGTAATCTGTCAGGTCCACAATGTTGTACTTTTGTTTTCTGCAGTGGTAGAAATGAAACCATTAAGTTGGAAGGAAGCAAAGAAAAGGAAACTCTTAATTTAGGCTCTACCAATCCTCATTTTCCTGTAAAGGAACTGAGTGTGCCACATGAAATAAAAGAGACTTCACAACCTGTTCGCTAATCCGTGACCTTTCTCTTGCTTTGTACACACTCCTCATGTTTGTTATTTGATCCTGCACTCTCACTATTTACACTTTATACTTGCCCAGTTGGCATGGCACACCCACAATTTCAATGTGCATGTACAATGAGAATAAAGGTCTATTCTATTTTATTCTTATTTACAAATCTGTGTCATTGTGGGTTCTTAGCTACACATGTGGTAACAGTCAACAGAGTTGAGCAATTCAGAACAGCATGAGGAAATTAATGTGCTATTTTCAAAGGAAATATTCTTTTAAAATAGCCACAAAGTCTGATCCATAACACTTGGTACCATATGATGAAAATCTGGTTTTCCTAGAGAAGAGCTTGGTACTCAAGGCATTTTAAGATTTCAAGAAAGTTTTTGACCCAGACAAACACAAACAAACATCGAGTGCTGTAATCTAAGTCGGTAGCTTTTGCAGCCTCTTTTCTGTAAATGAACACATGGGTAGGTTAATAACCACTGAGGAG